TCCTCACTAGTACTGCTGCCTCCTCACTAGTACTGCTGCCTCCTCATTAATACTGCTGCCCCACCCTAAGCCCCAGAATTCCCAGCCGTGTTGCAGTGCCCGTCACCATCCTCATCCCACCATGGTCCCCACCACCCACACTGTCAACGAATGACCTTTATTGAGCACAGGCAAGCCCGGGCAGTCTCTACCCCAGGGTCCACCTGCTCCGGAGCCCCTCAGCAAGGCCGCCCCATGGCTGCACCCGATGGCACGTGAAGCCCACGGTGAGAGTGGGGGCTGGGTGGGGTCTCAGCTGGGCAGCACTTCCAGAAAGGGCCCCTGAGGCTTCAGAAGGGTGCTGGGGGGGCCAAGCCGCTGAGAGCTGAATAAATAGATATGGTGGCGCCCCTGGGAACACAGGGCCCTGGCCTTGGCTGGTGTGTCTCCATGGGAGTGAGAGAAGCGGCCAGGAGTCCCGGCCTGGAGCACAGGCGAGTGGGAGCGCAGAGGGTCCTGGGGTCTCTGCAGCATCTCTGCCCAGCTCTCGCCTCTGGGGGCTGGAGGGGTGCAGTGGGCACCCCAGGCCTCGGCTGAAATGCACATGGACTTAAAAGACAGGTAGAGGGGATGAGGGGTGCCAAGCCCCTAGAGGGGGGCATCGTCAGTCCTCCACTTGGGGGGGTAGCTCTGCCGGTGGCCGTCGCAGCTGGGGTTCCCCATGGTGTCAAGAGGCACCACCACCTCGTCCGGGTTCAGATTCTTGTTCAGCTCCACCACGCGGGGGACCACCGAGGACCAGCGATCTGTGCGGTGGGTGTAGTGGGGGAAGGGTCAGGGGCTGGGAATGTGTGCCCCAGGGGGTGCACCCACAGTGTACCAGGTCCCCCCGCGAGCTAAGCCAGAAGCCACCCCCATGGCTGTCGAGGCGATGCCAGCTGGCAGCCCCCTAGAGGACAGGGCAGAACTGCCCCCGGGTGGGGAGTGTGTTCCCAAGATGGTCACTCTTTACGGGAGCAGCCCGCCTCCTCTTTATCCCGCAAAGCGGCTGGTGGGTTCGAACTGTTACCGCTATGGTTAGCAGCTCGATGTACAGCCCACGACACCACCAAGGCCGCTGACCACAAGTGAAAGGGGGCAGGTAGTGTGATTCTCATTTGACAGAGGTGGAAACCGGGGCTCAGAGAGGTCAAGGCACCTGCCCAGGGGCACACAGGGAGCACCGGGAACCAGGACTCAAGTCTGGGTCTGCAGGAACTGAATGTCTCTGAGTTTGTGGGTTATTAAAATTTTAAAAAATCAGACAGGGTTTCTCTACCCCGTGAAGGCTAAGGACCCTGCCCTCTCACGGAGGTGGCCCACCCCAGCCCACCTTAGGCATCCAGGAAATGGAGTGGCCAGCCCATACTACAGAGGGAGAAACACGAAGGCCCAGAGAGAGGACGGGGCTGCTTGAAGCCAATGAGCGATGAAGATGGGCCTCCCCCACCCACACCCCGCTTCTGCTCACCCCTCCGGAGGCGGCCCACGGTGTGCGAGAAGCCGTAGTACTGGTAGGTCTCATTCTTGCCCGGATCCTCATTAATGATGCCCAGGTTCTGGTTCCAGTGGGACCAGTTCACCTCGTCCACCCTGGCAGGAATAGAGTGTCATGGGGGAGGCCCCTGCCCAGATGGGCATCCCACGCCCACACCCAGGCTGCCTACCACCCTGCTCCAGCCCCCTGGCAAGCTCTCCTTCTTGCTGCCCGTTGCTTCTTGGGCTTGGGAGGTGGGGAGAGTCCAACTCAAGGTGCCCCCACATACGTGCGCAGAACTGCTTCAGGAGGCTTTAAAAGCCCACCACCGGGCTTGTCCTCTGAGGCACCCATGGAGTTTGAACTCCCTTTCAGCTAGTAAGTACCCACGTGCTTCACCACGTGGGCCACCAGGACTTCCATCCCTGGTGACGTCACTTCTGACCTCCTGGGCCCAACATGGCTCCGAACCATTTTTTTTCCTTTTTCAAAATCTATTATTATCTTTTTCTTTTTTTTTAAATCTCCGTACCACCTCCGTTTTTGGAGCAATTGCTGCAAGTCAGCAAGGATGGCAGTCTGTTCACGCCTCCCACATCTCTCTCTCTTTCTCTCTCTCTCTCCCCCCACCCTTCTCTCTCTTTCTCTCCCCGCCCCCCCTTCTCTCTCTCTCTCTTAACTTCTTATTGTTGATCCCCTGGGAGTCTACATTTCAGACAGAGCCTTGCTGGCGGGGTGTGTTCCCGATGGGGTCACTAACTGCAAGGTCAGCTGTTCAAAACCACCAGCGGCTCCTCGGGAGAAAGAGGGGGCTCTCTGTTCTTGTAAAGAGTGACAGCCTCAGA